GCCCTTCGGCGTAGCCTCCTTGAGGTTCCTCCCGCCCGTAGGAAGAGAGTACAACCGAACAGTCGCTCAAAAGTTGAGTTGAGTTGAGTTAAGTTTACTGGTGACAGCAGCAATTTTAACTTCAAGACTCATTAACAAGTGCAAAAACAACAACTATTTATGGTACTATGAATAGATAAACAAAAAAGGGATTTGAGGAAGAAGTTCCTGACCTGGGAGAAAGAAGTTGACTGGTGGCTGCAGTTGTGGCTAAACAGCCTAGTCATTCAGCTAGTTAAATGAAGGCAGTTGATTGAGGGAGTTTATTTAAAAAAAAAAAAAAAAAGGCATAGAGAACAGGACTTTAGCTAATTGAGGTACTAACAGTGAGAACCAGTTCAAGCTTACTTCTGCTCTTTCAGCCACTGCTTTTACGGGAGGGTGCAAATCCCAATTGCATTACTGACCAGCCAATAATAATGCTTAACCAACGGTATTGTGTCATATGCCTTGAAAAAGAGGGGGGAAACCAATATAATAAAAATAATGGGAGTGTACTAAGTGACTGAAGGGGAGATGAGAAGCTCCATCCAAGCTCTTCACTCACTGGCAGGCCATTCAAAATTGTGGCCTTGCATTGCCTATACCCATCTTCAGTGGAACATTTTCCATGTTCTGGCTCCTCATCCTCATTTGACTGACTATATCCCTGATCAAAATCTGTAAAGATTTGCTTTGTCACTCATTTCAACAAAAAAAAAAAACAAAAAAAAAACTTTATCAAATGACAAACAATATTCAAGTTAAACAGACTTGATGATTTCTTACACTATAAGTTAGCCAAACGAAAAAAAAAAAAAAAAAAAAAAAATCCCAAGAAATATAAATTAGATCACCAGTCATCTGACACCTTACATTTCTTGTCATTTACTTAATTGGTAAATAATAAGTTCAAATTTTGGTGAATGGAAAAACAAAAAACGGTTTTCAATTTTTTGTGGCCTTGTCTAAAATTAAAAGTAGGTTTGGTTTAGAGGGAGAAAAAAAATCTTTATAAAATAGTGAACAAATATTCCATCATAACTGGTTCACATATTTTTAGTTTCATGAATAAAAAAAAAAGTTTTTCCTATTCCTTTTGTAATATTGTATAGTAATTAGTTCAAATATTTTTATACTCTTGTAAATAATCTAACTAGTGCTTAACACTTGTTATTAAAATTTAAAACATTGTGGATGCAGGAGAAAAACTGTTCTTTTGACATTATTTTTGCAAGTACAAAGGTTAAACTGTCAAAACATTATCATCAAATAAACAAACACCTGTTAGGCAAAAATGCATTAGCTAAAAATCTAGACAAAATTAGACAAGTTTACAAAATACCACTCACAGGTGAGCTGATGAATTTTATTTGAAATGTGGATAATAAAGGTATATATACTTAGCACTTGTTGGATCCCAACAAGACAACTGTGGGAAACTGAAAAGGAGGGGGGGGTTTGAAAATTTTGAAGATTGAAGGAGTTGCCAGTATAACAGTTAATATGTAAATGTGAACATTGTTATTTTGCAGGTGAATCAGATTTTAGTTTTTAATAAGCTCTGTAGAAAATGGTGCCATTATTTGAGTCTAGTCTGAAACTTTTCCCCCTCCACTGGTACTATGCTTTCAGGGAGCTATCTTACTGAATGATGTAATGTTTTTAGCAACAGAGAGACTTAATATTAAAAATATCCTTTGTGTATATTTAGTTAGTTAGCCACAGTTAAAACTTTTGGTACCCAAGATGACAGGATTTGTTGTAGGCTAGTGCTCATTGGAACAACAAATTAGATGAACCACTAAACAATATTGCAAAGCAACAATATGAGTGAGTGAGAAAAAAAAAAATCCTGTCTTCCTATATAATTTTTCAGGTCCTTCAAAATTATTTGCATGCAATGCACATTATTTAGTGCTATAAAAGACAGCGTTGACCCAATTAAAATTAATAAGATTAAAAGAAGCTAAATTTTTCAACACCAAGAATGAGTATTATTTCTGTAGAATCAGTATTATTAAAATTTTACATTGAACCCGTATATATTCTCAGCTTTTAAAAAAAAAAAATCAGATGAATTATAAAAAAAAAAAAAAAAAAAAAAAAAGACCACTCCCATAATAATCTTGACAAGCTTTCAATTAACATCAAAGGCATTCTCTATCCATTCTATTTAATAGAATATTCAAATGAAAGATTGCTGCCCTGCCAATATAAAATGTTAAGAAATTTTATATATATATATGCATTTTCACAATCACATTTGAAATGCTTCCAAACACCAGATTGCATCTTACACAAAGCGTCCTGGCCGAGAGAAATTGCAAGTATCTCAAGGGGCAGTTAGATAGCCATGAAGACATTAAATATAAATAGTAGCTAGAGTGATAGAAGAACTAAACTCGCTTTCTGTACAGTGATTTTATAGGAATAAACTATCAGGTAACTATATCCTTTTGTAATTATTTTAGTGTTTCAAAGTTCAATTGTGAAATGAATTAACAGGTGTTATAGCAGATTGTTTGAAACGTGACACTGTTGCAATTCATTTATTAGTGTTGACTATTGTAAACAAAAAAAAAAAAAAAAAAAAAAACATACAAAACTTGGAATTTGTTTTAGTGATAGGGCTGTGTGTGTGTGTGTATATATATATATATATATATATATACACACACAAATTAATTTTATCAGCATTTGTTTCCATTATGATGATTACTGTATGTGTTGAATGGAACTTGTTCATTACAAGCAATGGGAAAGCTCCCTTCACCCAGGTGTTGGGTGGTAGATTCTTAGAGCACATGCATAGCAGGGTAAGAAATAACATACATAGTAGTGATTTTTTTCCAAGTACAAGAAAATTTTATTAAATTCAAATAATCTGAATTGTTTAAAATCTGTAAAACAATTGTAAACTAAGATAACGAGATTGAAGAACAGATTCTTGTAAAGTGGGAAATCTGCCAACCAGGCAAATATGTAGTGTGTATTTATGATGCCAACGGGTATTGAGGAAATGAAAACTGTTCAGGTTAAGTATTCTGGTGTTCTGGTTTCCTTCATGAAACTTAAAAAAAAAAAAAAAAAATTACATGGTAGATACCATTACAACATAATGAGTAGTATCAGTGCACAAGGCAGTCATGCTTCCAACTAGTTTGGGTGTCCTGAACAAAAATCATTTCCTAAAGATTGTGTGCAAAATGGCTTGACATGGCAATACTCAAGAACTAAGTATGTTTTTACAATATATGTCAGAAGCCACTGTAATTATGTCCCAGTGTTTCAAAATGATAAACTACAGAATTAAGATATTACAAATTTGTAATTCATAGTGAAAAGTATGAATTTTTAATAAGCTATTTTGTGCTCGTTTTTCACTATAAAGTGCCACTGCAACAGAGTACTATTTACAATTGCTGTTTTTGCCCTAAGAAAGTGAATGTTCTTACTGTTGCTGGTGATAATGTTTTGCAAAAACTTCTATCAATCAATAACCCCCTCTCCAAATTCATAACATTACTATCAACATTTAACTAAATTTGTTAGTTTCAGTACTTCATATAAAAATATATTGAAGTTATAAATTAGAAAAAAATTTTTTTTTTTAAAAATATCAAGGTTGTTTAATGCCTAAAAGAACTAGGAGAAAAATGAAACATCTTGTGACTCTTATGTACTTTATATGATGATGAATCAAGACATAATAAATGGGTTCTGTGAAGTCTTTAGCTCACAAACATCATCTAGTGTTATAACTAAATGAATCAGAAAAGACCAGGCTATAAATTAGGGGCAAACACTTTGAAAGCAGTCTTGAGAAACAAGACAAAAAAAATAAAAATTTATATATATATATATATATATATATATATATATATATATATAATATTTCTGGCATATCACAGTATAAGTAAAACAATTTCAAGTAATTGGTAAAATTACAATGTTCTTGTAAAGAAAGAAAGAATCTAACATATTACAAAAGTTTATGATACAGACAGGCACATCTGAGACATTGTAGTTAACAGAAACGAACTGGTTAATTTTCAAACAAGCAATGCTACAACTTCACAGTACCCTTAATACCATCACTCCAATGATTAGAGGGATGGTAGGATTAAGAGGCAAGTAAGCACTCAAAAGTAAATGCAGTCTTAAAAATAAAATATAGCTAAAAACCTACATATAAATTCTGAGGAAGAAGGAATTATCCTATACACCAGCACATGATATGTTACATATCTGTCCTCTCCAAAAAGTTTCATATTGGAGTTTTTTTTTTCTTCCTTTTTGATAGATTCGTTTTCTATTTTTTTTTTTTTTTATCAACCATTATTGGAGGAGTTGGGGAGAGAGAAGGTGGCAGACAATGGAATAGAGAATGTGTCTCTTCTACCAGTTCACATTTATCGCTATAAAAAGATAAAACTTACACATTCACCTATTTTATACCCTGCCTTCCAGTAGGATGAGGAGAAAACCAACACAATCCAACTTTATTGGAATTTAGAATCAATGAAAACAAAAACAAACAAAACACCACAATATAAAAATGTGCGAAATATTTTTATATGAATTACTTGATTTGTGTATAAAAAGAAAATTCCAAGTGGAATTCTTTAAGCAGAACACAAACCAAAGCGAAATGTAGTTACAGTGGATTGTTTATTATAGGCAGGTTTTCAAATTACAAAGAAATAACATTAGTAAGCAATGTCTACTGAGTTGAACCTTCCAAGTGCTGCTCATGATCTTCACACACGGCAATGTGTCTGAAAAACTTAACTGACCATCTCTAAATTAATCAGAGCCCAGGGAGTTCCATTACAATTTAGAAAGGGATAAATCCTTAGTAAGAAAGAAAATCCTGTCGATTTCTTGTGAAGAGATGAAACGGCAGGTCACAAGCTGAATAAGACCGTTGTTCTTCACATTAACATGCACATATGAACACAACTAGGAATACAAATGCTTTATGCTGCAAGATCAAGTCCCAAACCAAGTTTATGACCACCAGCATTAAAATTTTTGCCTTCAACAAGGGCTGACAAGGTTAGCACAACACCTGAAAAAGAAAAAAAGAGTGTTCACAGTCTGAACTAAAACAATTTTTTTCTTTTACTTTACATATATTTAAACATTAGTATATTCACAAACCAAGCAAAAGATGGAGAGATCAAATTTATCTACTGTATTAATTGTTCATGGAATAATCAGCAAAATTCAGATATCTTAAGTTTCAATCCGATTCAATAAAACTTTCATTTCACATTGAATCCTGGACTATTTAACTTTACAAGTTTTTTCTCAAAAACTACTAAAATTATTCATGGTCAATATTATCTAAAATAAGTGAATACCAAATCTTGTGAGATATAATAGGAATTTATTTGTTCAAAGTTTTATCAAACATTACATTAATGCATTTGTGATAAAATATCTGCAGAGTTTAACAAAAATTTAAATTTAAAGAGTGACAAGTTTTCATATGTAATTATAGTGACCCACAATATCAAGTGTTCTATTTGGATTAGATCACCTTTTAGGGTTAATCATGTCTAACCACAGAGGACTACTGAAAAGGAATAAGCATAGCTCTTTAATAACTAATTATCAATTCTTTACTGAATGTGCTTCAGTATTAATGTGGAAGAATTAAGATTAACCCAAATGAATAAAGAAAAAAAAACAAACAAACATATCTATATCTGAATTTCTAGAATGGGAAGTTGTTTACAGTTAGACTAATGTCTTCATCTTTGTTGTTATCACAACATTTCAGCTGTTGTACCTTCTGGCCTTAAGTTGTTTGCTAATCTTCAGAGGTAAATTGTCCAGGAATTGAACTCAATTACTATAATCACTAAATTCACAAACCAATTCTTTAATCCTAATGTAATGTCCTGTGGAACAATTTCAAACCGAGAACCATAAAACTGCCTGCTGCTGACTCTTGATTGTATTCAGCTTGGCTTCTCTTTTCTTACAGCATTTGAAGCTTTGTCAGTTTTTCTTTATTCACAAATATATTTATTTCTATGCTAGCCTCCCTTAGTAATTGTGAATAGAATGCCCAGACCAAGTAGTGCGAACAGACTTGGTGGAAACAGGACGAGAAGGACAAAATGAGATATCCATAGACAGAGAGCGGGATGAGGACATGTAGAATGTCCTCATCCCACTGTCTTGTAGATCAAATTAAGGGCTCAGTTCTGAACTCCTGGAAAGTTACCCAGACCAACAAAAACCTGAAATCTTATCAAAGTTGAGAGCAATAGTCTGAATGTAAGCAATTTATTTATATAAAAATATTTTAAATCACAAAAGTTAAAAACATTAAAAGGTTTGAAAACTAGATATTTTCTATGGATTACATATGAGAAATATAAAAACCTATTAAACCATGGGAATAAGGAGAAAAATTGCTTATATGAAATTTAATTAAGTTTAAGATAAAATAATTTTCATGCAGTACTTCATCTATTTTGCGATGGAGTCACTTAAATGTAATATTAACAGAACAATAATAAAGTAATAAGATTTGTAGAACAATATAAAATTGATTTATATATAATTTTAGAAAAAAAATTAATAATAATAATAACAATAGACATTTTGTGATATTGAAATAAAAGCTTTATAATCAAGTTGCAAGAGAATATTAAATATACCATGTATTGGATAAATTAGTCTCACAATGAGGCTATCACAAATAGCCAACATTAAATTCATACTTTGAGAAAATTCATGCTTACATCAAAATGAAATAATTGTTTAAAATTTAAGTGGAAGAAAAAAAAAAAAAAAAAAAAAAAAAAACTAACAGAAATTTTCACATAACTTACCATCTCTCAATTTTTGTGAGTAACCAAGACCAAGTTGACTGGAATTGTTAATTTTTGCCTGGAAGGGGGAAAAAAAAAAAAAAAAAAAAATTGTTTTAGATAGTTTTCAAATGAAAAATTATCCTGAAATAAATGCTAACAGATACATTTTTAAAATGTAAAAGATATAGAGCCAAGAGCAGAAATGTGAAAACTGATTTTGGCCTGACATCTTGGCTCAATTTTTGATCTGAAACTTTCACTGGATAATGTTGAATTTATTTGATTAATATTCACCACTGAATTAATTGCATAGACAAAGAAGGATATTAATGCTGAAATAGGTATCACCTGCCTCCGCATCACGGACTTATGTAATGGTAAGAAAAGAATGTTAAAAGGGATTTTATACAAGAATTAAAGAAAAAAGTCAGCCAAATAAACCAATAAATGCCATGAAAGTAATTTATCCTAGATTAAGTATTCATTATTTTAGAATAGGATAGTGGGAAAGGAATAGAACAGGTTATTAAAAAAAAAAAAAAAAAAAAAAAAAAAGTATTATATATTTATTACTCACGCTAACAGAAGCATCATTGTCAAGGATGTATTTTCCACAAAGCCCAAATCGAGTGGCATTGTTACTGGCCGTCCATGATAAGTTGACACCAATGTCAAGCTTAGAATTGACCCGCTGGTAGATAGAGCCACCAAATTCACTACCATCATTTCTGAAAATTAAATTGACAATCTTGTTAAAACTCAGAATTAGATAAGCTTATAAAGCAAGTTAAATGCTCACTTCAGTAGAATTCATTCAATATTAAATCACATAGAATTTATATTATAATTATTTGCATATACCAACTATCGCTCAGTTTATAATTAAAGCATGATCACTGTCATGCTATCATGGTTGACATTCTGCATTGTTCATTCCCATTAAGAAAAATTACTAATAAATATTGAGTTTTCAACCCTGAAACTGATTTTTAATTTTCTTTTATTACTTTATCATTGGATATTTGTCTATATTTCTGAGATGAGGTATTGTAATTATTTTAATTGTTCGGACTGTTGCCCTCATCTTATTACCATATTCACAATGCCTTGGCTGTTGTATGCTCCGGCGTTCTTCAGGTGATTGGAATCTTGAACTGAACCTTTTGTCCACTGGAGCAGATTGCTTTAGTTCCGCGTGCTATGACTCGGAGATGTCTCAGTTATCTTCCTTTAACATAACTCTCCAAGTTTTGGTTCACCACTACCATACCCAGGTATCAAACCCACAACTCTGGCTCAAGTCATTGGATCAAATTGACGCTGGGCCACAGGTCCTAAAATCTTGGTCGGATTCAGTGACTTCACCCAAAAAAGTGTGTAGTCAACAGTTTTGTCAAAGCTTTAGCCCACAAGCTCAAAAAGTAAAACTGTTATCAGCTTGAAATTTTAAAACCGACAAATAGAATCATTAAGTTTGGCTATTTTTATTTGCTAAAATTATATTTTAGAAATAAGAATAATTTTACACCCATTTTCCAGATATTAAAATATCTAAAAGATTAATTTAAATTGTTTTACCAACAAATATCAAAACATGTTAAATTTTGAATGCATTGCCTTTTGCATAGAATAAATACAAATAGATTCATCAAATTTTCTCTATTGATAGATAATTAGTAACTAAACTGGTTTCCTCTTTATATCCTTGGAAGCTCATATATAAATATAAAATTCCAGACAATTTAAGGCAAAAATACCGCATCATAAAACCTTTCAGCAGAGGAATAGCTTGCAGAGATGTAAATTTAACAGTGGATCTTTCAAATTATATTCTCTTAATCTTCAACTAATGTTGATTAGGTGAAAAGACACCTCCACACATCACGAAAAAGTTATTTAAAAAGATACCTTTTCATAAAACAGTTAAGCAATCATTCTTTTAGTGGTTATTTCATTTCTGGGAATTCCTTTTAATGGATAGGTTTTGTTTCAAGTCAAATAATTTGAATATATTGGTTATATATATATATATATATATATATATATATAAATAAAAAATCAATTTACAAACATAACTAAAAGATGTATTCATGATTTTTCCATTTTTAAAAAATATTTCTACTTACACATTTGTATGCAATGTGAAATCTCCAGCAGAATAGCCAACTGCAAAGTTGCTTCTTGAGAGCTTCGATTTGGAAGTATCAAAAGACATTTGGTAACCAGCTAACCATCCCATGTATCTTGACAAAAAAAAAAAAAAAAAAAAAAAAAAGAAAAATTCATAGACATCTTTACAATAAATAAAGAAAACAGTAGTCTTGCCATTATATTTGGTCTGCAATACGTGAATTGTGCTTCAAGATGTACCATAAAAACAAATATAGAGAAAATCTATGCATAAAAGCCAGTTTCAAGTGCAATATATATATATATATATAACACAACACCTATGTCAGTACTATTTCAAATACAATAGTTATTTTATATACATTGATATAAAAAAAAAAATTATGCTATATTTGTTCAATATTGGACCGTTTAAAAATTCAAACTTTATAAATTTAATAAAATAATCACATGGAAAAAATTATTTGACAAAGCTCATACACAAATACTCAACAAGAATTAAAAATTGTGAAATATCAAAATACTCTAGAGCTTCTTTGCCAGTTTCAAGAGACATTTAGCTACCAGCTAACCAACCCATGTATCTTGACAAGATACCCGAATTAAAAATCTTGTTTAAATTATTAAAATAACATTTGCATATCAAATGCATTGCAGCTAATAGTATAAAATTTCATAAAAATCCTGAATCAAAACAGTGTATCAACTTACCCAAGGACCAATGCACCATGAACTGTAGGTCCAGCAAATTCAAAGTCAACATCAGCACCACCACTGATGTAATCATTTTTGTATGCAGTCTTTATTTTTCCGCTCCTTTTACTGGAAACAACAATTATGTTTATGAGAAAAGCATGGTTTAATTTTTTTTTGCTAATTCCATTGTTCTGAACTAATATTTTAAAAAATATAAAGTAGTGTTGAAGTTAAAGAACTATAATTCTGGGCTACAATTGAATATAATTTTGATATCAAAATCATTTGCATAACAAAATACACATGCACAAAAAATTATAAGTTGAAAATGTAAATATAAATTTTACAGATATTTTAACAAAATAAGGCAGTGCTAACAAGTCCTTGGCCTGATCAAAATTATATTTGGTCAGATTTTTAAGAAGTGAGCTGAATCAATAACTTTTGACCCCTCCCCCCACCTAGTGGATTTTGAACTACCATTTGTAACCCTGAAATATGAACGCTAATGGAATAAAAAATAATCCTAGAGAAACTTTATAAACAAGCAATGGTTATGTTCAAAAGTTATTTTTAAATTACTGATTACCTGCTGATGCATTTAAAGAGATTTAATAATTCTGTGCGTTAATTCTGGACAACTCTAAAACAGTAAATTGTACTGGAGAAACTAGTTAGCACAAAATTTAGTTGCTTGTAGAAGCAAACAATTTACTCAAAATCTAACTAACGAAAAACATTCTTGTATGTATTACTAAATGTTGTTAAGCTGTCTGATGTATAAATCTCAAAATGGAAGAAAATAGAATAAATACATACCCAGTTTGAGGAGCAAAAGAAGTATCAAAAGAAACTTTCAGACCTTTAGCAATCTGATCTTCTACAGTGATCTCAGTAGCTAAAATATTGTCTGTATTCCATTTTTCAGAGAAAGTCATGCCTGGAAATAAAAAGAAAAAATTTAAAATAAATATTCACATAAGTCATGTACAAAAATATCTGGCACCTATCCATCGAAAGGTTAACTTAAATAAGATCAAAGAGCAGAAAAGTACTTTCCTATATATTTTCAGCAAAGTAATTCACCAAGAAAAATGGTATGAAAGCACAGAGAAAAAAATTATTTAAAAGAATTATTAAAACGAAAGAGTCAGTACTTACCATACTCTTCCCATTTGTATTTAGTTTCCAAACTGCCAGCAACTTTACCAGTGTCACTGTTGGAGCTACCACTAGTGGTGATAGACACACCTTTGGAAGTTTTGGTTTTACATTCCAATTTAAAAAATCCATAATCTGAAAATATAAAATAACAGTAATAAAAGAGAAAAACAAAAACTAAATTTATACCTTAGAGCAGGGGTGGCCAACCTTTTGATTCCATGCGCCACACAAACATTCACTTCCTTTACAGTACGTGTTGTAATATGGACATATTTTAAAGTTATAAAATCTATTTATTTGAAAAATATATGCTTATGAACAGGGGCGTATCCTTTTAGCAAAGGACATGCAATAAATATAAAATCACTGAAATGAATGAGTAGAAGTGGCTTAGTTTCTTTTCATCAAAAGGATGCAATGTGCCACAGGTTGGACATCCTTGCCTTAGAGTAATAAAATTTTATCAAGTAGGGAAAAGATCCTTGTTTAATTCTTAGTATAATTTTTCATAAAGAGATGTTAACAGAAGTTGAAGGTTAAGAACTATATATAATGTTAACAACTTTGATATATTTTCTAATTACTTGGTTTTCAACAGGTATAATTGTGCTCTGTAAAATTTCAACAAGAACAAATTTAAAGTCAATTGTGGAGACTAAAGCACAAGTTAATTATATTGATTATAGTTCCAACAATAGATGTAGTAAGTTAGCAATTATATGAAGTAACTAGTCATTTTGAAATTTTTATCAATTGTCTAAAGAATGTTATTAAAAACACTAAATTATTTAAAATATACATTCTAGACTTAAAGAAAAAAAAAAGTACTCAAAAGTTTTTTTTTAACTTACTATAACCCTTGGAAAAAAGATCTCTGGCACTTTTTCCAAGGTCAGCATATACTGGGGGTGCCATTTTTGATTATGGAGAAGATCTGGAAAAATAATGTTAAGTATTATATCACATGCCTGCACATCTCATTTACCAACTGATTTTAAAAACACACACACAGTTTAGATCCTACTATGTAACAGACAAGTAAATTGCTAACTATGGGAATTTATTTTTAAATTCTGAAGTATTTACGTTAGCTATACTTATGCAGGGTGACTTGGGGTGTTAACAATTTGAAAACTTTTTTTTTTTGCATTTAAAGAGTAGAAAGCACAGAGAAAAAAATTTAAAAGAATTAAGATCCAAAGGAATTTTTTTTTAAAAATTGCTTCTGTATTCTTTAACAGATTGAAACTTGAATAATTTTCATTATATAATATTTAAATATATTTGAAAGCAAACCATTAGCACAATCATACATCTAAAATTGTACCTAATGGGTAGGAAACAATTATTCAGCACATCTAGGATTATTTTGCAAATATGTAAGCTAGAAATCAATGATTTGACTTTAGAGGAAAATTCAAATTAACAAGAAATAGAAATGGACTTGACACTGATAGAGTTAAGAAATATAAATTAAATTTACTTTATTCTATAATGGCCTCAGTTATAATCAACCCACTTAAAAAAATCCATAAAAACTAATTTTATACATTAGCATAAAAGTTCTAGAACAAAAAAAAAAAAAAAAAAAAAAAAAAAAAAAATGTATCAAATACAAGCAACTATTCAGTACAGTATGATATGGAAGTTGAGAAACTAAATGAGGAACAAAATGCAAAGTTAAACAAAGGACCTTTCAGTCATAATTAATTTGAAGGTCAGAGAGATAAAGCAGAGAAGACACTTTCTGATATTTCAAGTAAATTTGAAAATATTAAATTTATTCTAAGTTCTGACCACTGAATTTACTGGAACTATAGGTTAATTTCTAACTTCAGTTCTATTTAACATTTGTAAAACCTATGTCAAACGTTTAATTCACCTGTAAATATACATGTTTAAATAAAACAGAAGCTATAATTGCAGTATATATTTTCTAGATCTTGTAGTGAAATTCTGAATAAAATTTCAAATGATTTCTGGTGCCCAAATGATACTTGGAGATTTCATAAACCTAAATAAAAAGTGTGTGTGTAAGTGAGAGAGTCATATCCCCCCCCCTCCCAAAAAGTTTTATAAATTTATTCAGGATAAATGACAAAACCTAATGAAATCTGATAATTAGCAGATTTGTGACAAATCAGTAGGTGAAGTAAATCATTGAGTTCATCTGAAGATATTCCACTATCTTGTTTTTAGAGATAAAATGCTGTTTAAAATGAAAACATCTCTTCAGAAATGAAGACCATAGAAGTTTTTGTTTTTACATAAAACTTATTCTCCAATAACTTCATGACAAAAGATCAACAAGTTCTAGGTTTTTATACTGACATATGCTACTTTGTTTGCATTATAGTTGTATCTAGTTCTAGTTTGCCATTAGCTTTGAATACTATCTTTTACTGTAATGATTAATTTATTTAAAAAAGGTATTTTTTTAAAACTTCAATATAGTAAATACAGTATTAAAATGAAAATCATAAATGTTAATCATTACAAGAAACTTAAGTTATATAAACAAAATTATTTCAAAATCACATGCTTAAAATGGTGAAAATGTTCAGGTAATAAACTAAACTAGCAATGCCTTTATGATTTATTTCTAAGACATTTTTATTACTTCAAATGTTCATTCACATTCTAAGATTTCGCAAATGTGCAGACAAATAGATTAAGACACCATTTAAAACAATAAAAATCGAGTGTATTTCAAATAAGAGTATCCACCATAAGGTTGGAAGTAATATTATTAACAATAATATCAATCAACTAAGTGACAAATTTTACACACATACACTGTATATACTTTAGTATAGTGCAAGTTTTGATTTTTTTGTACATAATGGAAGCTTTTCATGCCAAAGAAATCCAGTATACTATACATGAAGTTGGTTTATACACAAGTATATACAATATATATTACAATGGTAGTTTCTTTACACTGAGAAGTGACATTTTCAGTTTCTATCAAATAACTTGATTTCACAGCTTAAGCTAAATTTTAATCTTATGCAAAACCTAAGTAATCTGATATAACTTTTTCCTATATGAAAGATTTCAGTAATTGTCAAAGATCACATGCTAAAAATCTTTTCAGCTAATCAGCTATCCATTTTGGCTAATAATAAATATTGCTAGCAAAAACCTAGCTATAACAGTCCCTTTCCTTCACTTAATGAGCATTTTTGACATACCTGTCACATGAAGTGGGATGTGTGAGGAGAGATGAGGGTGAAATAAGACAAATTTATTCTAAATTGGAGTGATAGAGCAAGTACAATATGTTAGCTCAAAATTTTGCAGCTTACAAATTTCACATATAAGAACTTTCTATTTAATATGCAGTTTATGATTCAAATTACACATAATATTTTAGTAATATATGAAATATTAAAAATACCTTTTTATTATTTAAGATATAATTAAGAATCAAATATGTACCGACAGATTTGTTTGTAGTTATACAGTACTGTTTATGGATTAAGTATAGTGATTAATTTTGTGCTAGAAATTTCATGAATGGTGCCTCCTTGGTTGTGTTAGTCACTTTGATGAATGGATGAGAAGATACTTTATTAAATAATGCGAAATGCAACACAGACAAGTTGGAATGGCGTTCTCTGCAACAAGCTACTTATGAAGAACTAAATGATCGATTTGATTCAAATACTGCTCCAATTTGACCGACATCCAACGAAAAGCATCTGGAATTTGTTAGAAAAAGCTTTTGGGACAATGCTAGCAGACAGCATATTTCTTTTGTAACCAAGACGAAATTGTTATAGTTTAGCCGAAAAGCCTTATCAAGCCACCTGTCATAATCAGATACTGCCAATTTCAGATGATTACCATTCATTTATTCTTTTCACAACAGAATTCTTTTAATGTGTGCATTTTATATATATATATATATATATATAAACGAGAGAGAGAAAACGAAAAAAAATATCAATTCCTTGAAAGAACTGCAAGAGGCAATAATTCGAGAATGAGATACAGAAAAAAGGTACCGAAATAATGTTGAAAAATGCTAAAAAACCCCCAAAAAAACAACACTCAAAGAAAAGAGACGGTAATTTACAATTTCAAAAATTGTAGCTTTTATAAAAAAATATTTATCACACAGTGGTTTTAACTTTAAAAACTCAAAGAAACGATCAAGAAGTTAAAACCAAAAGAATTTTCAAACTGGCTAACGAGAAACTTCGATTTCAATGTTGAAAATTGTTTGATCATAAGTATTTTTGTTTAAAAAGTAAACGAAAAAGGTTTTTCGAAATTTGGACACGCATAAAGCCATCATTTTAGTCTTAAATATTACAATATCATTAACATATTTCAAATGAAATACTTTACAATCAAATATTGCCCGGCGAAATTACATATTTCGATTGGTGTAACGAAATCGGTTTGATTTGGCAAGTTTAGCATTATTTTTACAATACTTGTTTGAGGCATCAACACATATGTGTTGATACATTCAAACAATCATTATGATTAAAAATTAATCCATCGGATAATTAGTTCGAATGCAAAAAACGAAATTTATCATTTTCAGTTTTGTTGCGTTGTCGTACAACTTTTAATAAATAGTACAATATTTAAAATAGAACTTATTTCGAAAATAAAATAACCATTCAAGTGTTAATAGCCGACAGTTAAAGAAATCTGAAATACATGATTATATAAAATAAAAAGGTCATCCTGTTAACCTTTTTTTCACTGACGTGCGTTGGTTAAAGACTAAAGAAATAAGATAACACTTATTTGTATAAATAACAGATACCCTTGCTTTAAGTAAGGACGTTATGGAATTCTTAAAACGGCAAGTAGAACCGCCAGACAGACATGACCTTCGAAAAAGTACTTATTTGCAATCATATCCTTGAATGAATACAGGATACATATTCGCAACCTAGGGAAGGCCACGTTGCGAAACAAACTGATTTTATTTGTGCTGAAAATGATGTTTTTCTTTTCTTAGCAATTAGAAGTTGAAAGGAAAAATACTGACAATGTAGTTATGAAAATCGATTGACTGTTTCATATAAAAAAAAAAAAAAAAAGCGAAAATACAAGGTCATACGGATAAAAGTCACCTCGTTTTTACATATTAATTTATTTAAAAAAATAATGCGTCAGTTTCAGAATATTCAATGAAAACGTTATTACAACGGAAGGCGAAGACAAACTGAGCTTGGCTGATTGCAGCAAGAAATAAGGTTACTAAGAACATGAACACTTTTTTTTTTTTTTTTTTTTACTTTACTTTTTTTTAGACTTTAAACAAATGTTAACGTTTAGGACATTTAAGCATACAAAAAGCAGACAAATAAGTTAAAGCTTTTTTAAAGAAAAAAAGAAAAAAACTTAACCCCTTTCAATATTGAGCTTTTACATTTCAAGCTAATCTAGAAATTTTCAGAATTTTATACCATCGAGAGTTTTAGATCATATTGCTTGAATTTAAACGGAATTAAAAAAAATATATATTTATATTGACATGTTGCATAATATTGTATGTCCTTGAAAGAAAAGTTAAAACGCAAAATTAATTCATTTGGAGTTTTAAAATAGTTTAAATGTTAATGAAAGTCATAAAAACGTGTAGACAAAAAGTGTTCATCGTCTGTAGTAGTAACTACTGAAGTTAAGTATCACAACTACACTAGTGATTAACAAAATGAACTTAAGTATTGGGCTGATAACGTCTTAGGGTGAACTAAAAATAAAGAGGAATTAATAATCACGTTACTAATTATGCGAATTCGCTAGTTAAATTGAAATAATTGTTTTTTTAGTAATATTAAAAATAACTTGCCCAATTCATGAATTACGAAGGGATTCCGACTGACATCTGATTTTCTTTTACACTCTTGAGTGTATTATTAAAACAAGTTTACATTAAAAATATGACAGAACATAAGATTGGCAATATGAACATTAATAAAGTGTTTAATTCTTGCTAAAAAAAAAAAGAAATAGAGAGATAGATATTAATTATACTGTCTAATAAAAGAGCCGAATAAATGATAAATGCAGCAGAACAATGATGGCTGACAACCCTAAGGTTGCCCTTTACTTCTACATGTAGGTTTCACCTCCCATAAAGACAGCTGAATAAATAGGATAATTATTCTGTTGCAAAAAGTCCGAGGTATTGAAAGAACTTTTCTATAAAATGAAATGCAATTTTCAAAAGAAAAAAATCGAGAACATAAATACCTGTCTGCCACTAGTGCTGTTGCTTAACTGGATCCTGAAGGTCAGAAAGAGAAAGAGAGTTCTCACTTCTGCTCGACAAGGCGACAATAACCGAATGATTACATTCGAATTTTGTATATAAATTTATAATATTTAACTATAAAAAATTAATATTAAAAATATGGACTCATATTCATGAAAAAGTTTAATTAATTTAATTTTTATATTTTTCAATTAGTATTTCCCAGCAAGCTTCAAACTGACCTAGTGAGGTCAAAGGTTGTACTAGTTATAACCTCTGATAGTAAAAGCAAAGCACTGCTGTTTTGAAACATAACACCGCTATTTTTAATTTTTTTTTATTTTGTTAAAGTCAGATGAAATTTGGTAAGTTTTATTTTCTTGAAATTTAAGGAAATCTACTTACATAAAAGAAGTTTAATTAAAATTTTTGTTACTGTATGAAATAGTATTTATTTCGTTAGCTTAGCTTCGTAGTTAAACGTGAACAGCAAGTTAGATTCTGCACGTTTTACAAATAAAATGTTTGGCATTTCCATCCTACCCAATTAAAAGTTTTAGTAATTTACTTAATTAGCAGATACTTTCTGGTTTAATAATGTGTCGATTTTCTTTTTTCTTTTTAAAGCTTTTAACTCGAAATGCCCCATTACTGCAGGTGTGTCATTAGTTACGTCTGTTGTCAAGGTTTGATTTTTGTTATTATTTTTTGCGTATAATTAAAAAAAAAGAAAGAAAATTAATATCATTACTGTCACAAAAAATTCCGAGGCTCCATGAAACATACTATACGTCGGTTGATCATATTTAGAGAGGGATCCATGAATAATTTCGTCTTTATCAGCCACTTCGCTTATCAATGTTTGCGAAGGAAGCAATAATGAATGTAAGTTGAAGAGAAAATTTATTTAAAAAATATATAATCTCACAAAGATTTGGCTTTTATTTTGAAAAAAGAAAATAGTTAATGTATTTTTCAAAGAATTAGACACTAGAAAGCTGTTAGTTTTCTTCCTTCAAGCGGATTCATTTAATTTTCTTCTCATCATTTCGTGTTAATAATTTGTTGAATTCTTGCGCTTGCGATTGTAATTTATTTTTTAATTTACGAATTCTATTCCTTTCCTTTTATTTACTATTTTACTTTTTTTCTTTTACTCATGTTTTAAAAAACTCCGAGAAAATTAAAAAAAAAGAGTTTTTAAAACTTTTTTTTTATTTTGTTCTTTACCTTCTTGCTTTAAATTATCGGTAAATTTAAGAATATGAATTATGTAAAATAAAAATGAATAAAATAAAAGTGCATAATTTTTTTTTTTTTTTTTTAAGTACAACAGACTGCGTGTTAACTTTTTTTTCTGTCCGCATTGAACAGAAAGCTTTTAAAAATTTCCTGTATGAATTTAGGGAGTGATGCATTTACATTACATTTTATGGTTTAAATTAAATAATTGCTCTATAGCAAATTTATGCCCTAAGAAAAAAATGTAAAATTAAAATATGTAAAAACAAATACCACTACCAGACTGTAATCTGACCATCATCAGGTTTTTTTTTGGTTTATGAAGTTAGGATGGGTTGAGTTTTTTAAGTGAAGTATTTTGCTTTGGCCCAGGTTCTTGATTTGAAATTCTAATTTTGATTTTGCAAGAAAAAAAGAAACACTAATTACTAAATGATTATTTACTGTTTGTCATTTATGAATACTAAAAATACTGGTAAGTAAAAGTTGTTTCTTAATCTAATTTAAGATTTAGTTTATTTCCTACAGGGGAAAAGTTTTGCCAGACTGTCCTTATTTTTTATTATGTAGGTGGAAAGTAGTCATCAACAAATCATCTTTTTTTTATTCATTTTATTTTTTAAATCATCTAAAATAATTATTGATGATAATGTGCTTCATAAGCATTTCCAGTTTTGCATTTGAGTGCCATAGAGAATGAAATTCCCAGACCAAATTAATTGTTACCTTGTATGATTGGAATATTATATTTGTAAACTTCATTAGATGTTCTGACATTAGTGACTGCTCTTGATTATTGATTAAAAAAAAAAAAAATGAAAATGTTAATCAAGCCTAGAAGAATTTTCATCTCATATTCATAGCTTTTTTAGTATTTTTTGAGCTTTGGTCCTTTGGATAATGTTGGATTTGAGGATTTTCCTCTACGATTGCCAATATTAGAGTTTGAGGCATCTGGCTAATTATGTCCTAGAGTAAAAAAAACCAAATCCGGTGAGAATTTAAAAAAAGAAAACAAGTGTGACATAACATGACACCTTGTGTCAATTTGAAGCAGCTTTTAGGTTACTGTTTCTCAGAATTTATTCTTTTGTAGATAAGATTTTAAATGTGACTTGACCTTTCACCTTAGAAAACATGTTTATTCAGATTATCTTGCACAAAAAATGTTTTTCCTTCTGAATATTGTTTCTGTTTTTAAGGCACACCTTTTAATTTCATTTGATAATTCAAATTGGAAAATATCTGGGCTTATTTGCAAAAGACTGAAAATTAAAAATATACAACTGGTTAAATCTTACATTCTTGTGTATTTATTTTCTAAAAAATCAAATATTAATGTTTTTCTTAATTAGGATTTCAGCATAAAGTGTTACTCGGTTATTGTTTTTTGTTAAGGAATATATTTTAGTAGAGAGAGAAAAAAAAGTTTAATTGGCATGTATGCAAGTCTTGAGTGGAAAATGTGAATAGTCTTGGAGGAATCTTGTCTTGTTTCTTAAGTAACTGAAATGCTAGAATTCTTTACTTTTTGTGAATTTTACCATGAGGACCCCCCTCCCAAAAAACCTAAAAAAAAACCCATGAGTCAGGTACAAACCGGATACTTTTTTAGGCAGATCTCAACACTATTATCTGGTGACTATTTTTTTCATTGTAAACAATTTCAGAATTTCTGTACATTTATTTTTTAATTACAAATTCTCTATAAGTTGTTATCAAAATAAATAGTAGTTTTTTTTTTAATGTCGGAACCACAACAAAAGAAATAGTATGTCTCTTTGATAAATGAATGAAATGGAAAAAAAAACTTTGAGATGATACATTATTTTTTAATTAAAGTGATTTTACTTAGAAATTGGTATTTGAAAAATTCGGATTATTAAAATAAATTGATTTTTCTAAACAATGACATTTAATCTCCTTATTCTTAATCACTTAATTTGGCAAGATAATTGTTACAGACTTTCTGGGGGAAAATACTTTGTTAATTTTATTTTATTTTTATGTAAATAATTTGTATTGTGAAATTAATTAATCTTTTTATAATAGGAAAAATTTATTGTTACGAGTTAAAATAAAAAACAAGAAGACTTATATTGACTTTACAAGTCAATGTAATCGAAAACCTGATTTAAGTTCATCAGTCTGCTGATAAAATCATGCTTAAACAGAAGTCTTAAATGAAATGTTTCTCATTTTTGTTAAATTTTAAAGTTTAAGAATCACCTCTTTCCAAAATAATTTTTTTTAAAAATTATAAATTTTTTGTTTAAAACACTAGTCAAGCGAAATTCTTGCACTATTTTTTTGTTTTACAAAATTTCTATGCCTGTCTTTTTTTTTTCTACTTCAGGTTGTCAAAATTGAAGGGAGTTTGACATTTTTTTTTACTGTTTTAGTCGGTTAAAATTTTTAACTGGCATTTTTATGACACTTGTGATAAAAATAGCAGAATTATTTTATGGTATTAAGAAGTGTTTTAAAAAAAATGTATCAAAAATTATCTCCCAGGTGTTGAAGTTGGGGCAGGTTAATGCTTACCTAGGGAAAGTGTCTGTAAATGATTTGTATTTGCACATAGTCTTTGAATCTGTCTTATGTTCATATTTGAATATGATAGGTTTAAAAACTATACTCTCTAACTTCTACAATGTTTTTTATATGAATTGTCTATCTTTCTGATATTTAAATTATGTAAAGTGATGTATTTTGAGAATAATGTGTCATATCTCCTTTCTCTGGTCAATATTTAGATAGAATTAAATTATAAGATTACCATTCTTTCAATGTCTACAAGCTTGAATATTGAAAAAATCTAATAACTAGGAAAGTGGATGGTTTATGACTGATTTTAAGAAATGCCTTTCTCTTTAGAAATTGTTCTATTTTCATACAGAAAATGTCAATCTTAATCATATAAGCTGTAATGCTATGACATTTTTTTTACACTAAGGAAGCTGAAAGTATATTTTTACTATAGAGATATATAGAAAATCTCATCTCTCATTTTGAGTTATTTGACAAAGATGTAATATGTATTTTTAGCTACTTTGTGTGATAATGATTGATTTTCTTAAGCTATTCAGATGGTAATTACTTCTGACAAAAGGATTAAATTGTAACTATATATTTTGTTATACTATTTACAAATGTGATATAAATACTTGTCAGAATTTTCTTTTTATCAGGGAGGAAAATTGTAATTTATGTTAAACTTTAATTTTTTTTATATTATTATTAGTTTTAAAAGTTCATTTTTTTTTTTTTTTTTTTTTTTTGAGATTACAAGTTTTCTCACTAAAGTATTTTAAATTTTATCATTAAATATATTACCATTTAGAAAGTAAGTAGATGTAAAAAATTTTGATAGCAAAAAAATGTATTAGTTTATCTAAATCTGTAAAAAGGATCAGTTCATTGTAGTATCATTATCATATTTCTATTCCAAATGATGTGTAGCCAACTAAACAATGAATGGCAATTACTCATCACAGAATTACAGAGTGTAACTCATTTTTCTCATCTATCATTTCTAGCTGCAAATAATAATAATAATAATTTTACAGCTTGGCTTGTTTCTTTTGTACAATTTAGCATTTTGCATTACTCATTAATTAAACAAAGCTAACTCTCTGATTTACAAGATTAATGTTCTAATCAATGTGATACAGGCTAATCTAATCACCTAATATTCCTAATATTATGTAAAGAAAAACAGAAACTTAACACTTCTTATTTTATGTAAATAGCATGTAGATATGCAGTTCAAAAGTTATTTACTAGGTGTAGCTTAATTTTGGCACAAGGCCATAAGTACTAGGCACCCAGTGAGGATTGAGCTCACTATTAATGATCTGTAATACCAGCTTTCTACACATTATTAAACTATGTTGAGATGCCCACATATGCTTTGTAATAATTTGAAAATAATTGTTACTTTTATTGAATTTTTAAAAAATCCCATTCGCTGTATTAGCAATAATTTGTTACAAAGTTTGTGAGTGAAATAGGAAAATATTTATTTATGGTTTTATAAAACATCAGATAATTCCATTTTGTCAGAAAAACCAGATAAAAAAAATGTATATTATTCATTAAATAATTTAATGCCTGAATTAATATTGAAACAAAACTTTAAAAATAAAGAAAATCTAACTATATGAACCAGTACAAACAGTATAAAAATAAACAGTACAAAAATAGGTATTGATCTGCACATTGCACACATTCTAAAAGCTTTTTGACAATGGTCACAATTTGTAATATTATTATTGTGAGTTGTTAGCACTGAACAAAGTTGTTTTAAATGATTACATATTCTGTGAGGTATTGGAACTTATACTAAATTTTCAAAAGATTATACTTTTATTATATTTCTTTTTTCTACTAATTGGGAATTGGTATTTAATAATTATTTTGGAAAAAGTATTTTATTTCTATTTAAACTAACCTTCATTTTGCCTCTGCAAATTAGTCATTAAATAGGATTAAAATGTGAAACTTGAAAACTCAATTTCTTTATGAAATGAATCTACAATTCGGTGAAATAAAAGAATAGATTTTTAAAAGAGAAGAGAAAAACAAGAAAACATTTTTGTCAAAGTAGTAAACATTTGTATAGAATATTGACTTTAAAAGTCTGAATTTAAATTTTGTATACAATGAAACTAACATTGATTTAAGTAATGTTAAAACAATGTGACTTTTGCTCTTTGGAATATATTATGCCAAAAATAACAATCCCATCATTATGATATCTCTATTGAATGGTATTATAACATAAAGGTCGATAGTTTGATGGTCACCATCACAACTATAAACTCTGCAAAGAAATTACCTTACTCTGTATGAAGAGAGATGACTCCGAGGTTGAAAAATGTTATAGATAGCTCATGACGAGATGAGATGTCACTATTCCAAAGAACCTGTGAGTGTTTTCATACATGCAGTAAAAAAGCTAACAGTTGCCATTTGTTAATTAAAGAGAAATTGTAACTATTTCAATTAGTTCTAAAATATTTTGTCATTTAATCATCAAAGCTAATTATAATTAAAACATGTTTCCTAACTTAAGTTTTTTCATTTCTTTTGCAGAATTATTATAAAATGGATGTTTCTAGTTGGAGTTGTGACCAAGTTGCATCTTGGCTCAAAGAAAACAATTTTAATGATTATGTTGAATTATTGTGCTATGTTCATCGGATTGATGGACAAGTATTGTTGACTCTTAGTGAGAATGATTTAAAGCAGCAACCTATATCCATTCCAGTTTTAGGAGATATTAAAAGACTGATGCTTCATATTCAGAAACTTCAGCTTGACACTGCTGCTAACTCAATACAAGGATGTAACCACCCAGAGTTTCATGCAGGTGCTGCTGCTATTGTTTCTAATTCTTTGCACCTAGAGCAAGTTGTACGCCAACGATCCAGACATAATCTGAAATCAAAGGAAAATCAATATGACACTCCTCCAATTGAAGATTGCGATGAATTGAATGGAGCACAATCCCAACATCTTGATCCAGAAATTTGGAAAACCATGTTAAGCTTTTTATATATTTTTACTGTTTTCCTTATTACTTCTTTTGTAATGGTTATAGTTCACGAACGTGTTCCAGATATGCGTAAATATCCACCTCTTCCAGATATATTCTTGGACAATATGCCGTATGTTCCCTGGGCATTTGAAGTGTGTGAAATGATTGGGATCATTTTAGTAGCCATGTGGTGTATTGTGCTTTTCTTCCATAAACATCGGTAAGTTTTTGACTTTGCTATAAATTGTTCTAATTAATAATTTACATTGTTACCTTTTCCTCTCAATCTGAAATGCAACCTCTCTAGAATAATCATGTTAAATATGAATCAATGCCATTTTTAATTTTTTAATCAGTTCAGTGTTATGTCATCATAATTATGAAAAGATTTATTTAGATCATTAATTGTGGCCAAGAAAGTAATCTGCTATTCATAGCCTAAAAAAGAATTTTCAACTGATCTACTTAGAGATAGTAGTGTACTTAATCTCACTATTTGATAAATGTATTTTAAGCCCTTGAGTGATACATGTTGAAATCACAAAAATCTTTTTAGTCATTTTAACACAGGCAACAGCTAATATGTGATTTATAAGTTTAGATATGGTGACAAAAAGTAATGAAATTAAGTTATCCAGTATATAATTGTTTTATATTTACTTTGTAATGACAAAAACATTGAATTATTTGAATGTTTCTTTCTAAATTTAAACAAATATAAAACTAATATACAAATTGATTATTACCATATTTATTTCTGTAATTTTAAATATTTAAAACTTTTTATTGGTATCCCTATTTAGATTGAAATTAAATAAGGTTTGTGTATAACATATCTTAATAGAAATGAAATTTGTACTGTAGCTGTTACATTTAATTTTTTTCTCTCTTCGAAGGATTTCTTTTTGCTTCTTAGTAAATTTAAATTTTTCTACATGTTAGTCACTGTTCTTCTTATATAACTTAATATTCTTTTCTGGGCATTGTTTAGCACTGTTGTTTGTCTCTAAAAGTATGACAGTATGTTTTTTAAATATATTTTAAAAAAATAATTACATTTCAATTCAGGTTTGAATTTTTAAGATATTGAAGAAAAAATACTTCATTTGTTATTGTTGGTATTCAAGTTTTGTATTCATCAATACTTCTGTGCAAACATGGATTGTTGCAGTAAACACTTGGCAATAAAAATATAGGTGACACTTTCACCAAGAAAACAAGTGGCACTCAGAACAAATACTCACAGGGAACGTAGCTAACTCCAATGCCAATTCTCGTTCCTCTCTCTGACTGCACGCATTTTTTATTTATGAGTCCCATGGGTAAAAGCCCAAACTGTTGACAGTTGTCGCAGTGAAAACATTTTTCAAAACGAGCCTTTCCTTTCTTTTCACTTGGGCCAATACACAAGCGTTTTGATGCCTTTTTTTGCAACTGAGCATGTTAGTCTTTGCCACACTTCTCCCTTCCCCACATTTCTTGATCACATATATGACAACTCACACGGTCTCTTCCTCCACATATTTCTTTGGAGTTGGGGTGGCGTATTTACCTACAATTTGTTTTTGGTCAATTCTACTGGAGAGGTATGGTTTCCATCTGGCCATTCTCACTCTCAGATACAGATTGTCTTCATCTTGCACATCCACCAAAATTTCCCTGTCCTCCTTCTCAAATGCACGTTGAGCCAGGGAATGGATGGATATCCTTGACATGGTGTAGCACCCCGGCCACCGGGATTGACTGTGGACTGACAATCCCAGTGATCCACCCCATATTAAAGCTTGTTGTGCATTGATTGTGTAGGGGTTTCATGAACACAGTCTTCTATCTTGTGATCTGGGTGGTTTGCATCTGGCTTCATTTGAGGTACTGAATCATTTCCTTTTTATCTTATAGAGGTAGATCCCATTAGAAGACATGGTGAGGTGTCATTCTTGGGGGTAACATTGTACCAATATGTGGCTTCTTGAATGGAACATTTCTTTTTGGCTGCTATTCTCTTTATACTCCTGTGACACCACTCTGCTATTCCACTTTCTTCTGAGACATGAGAACAATGAAATCTCATTTGTAAATCCCATTCTTCCATGAAGTCGTGGAACTCCTTGCTGTGGAATGCAGTATCATTATCTGTGAGTAGTTTGTGGAGTGGACCTTTTTCATAAAAGATGGACTCTATTTAACACATTACACTGAAAGGATCCTATGAATCCAATGGTTACCACAAAGTGAATCTTGTTGGATTGCAATCCATTAGGGACAAATAAGTTCTGTTATTGTAGGGGGTGATATTCATATCCAGCTGGTACCAGGTACTAACCACTTCTAACTTGCTTTTTCACCAATGGACTGGTGCTGTGTCTACTGTTCTCTATACAATGCAGGATCTGTTCACTGACTTAACATCTAGTCTAGATGTAGACCGGCAAATTCTTTGTACAAAGTATGTGGTGTGCTGCACCTCTGGGTATCCACTGCTATAGTGAATCCTATGATTTGGTTGGCATTTAAGGTGTCCCCAGAGGCAGCATGTAATTGATACATGGATTCAACTCCATCCTTGATTATTTTGAACAACTTGTGTGGTACTCTCATTATCTTGCCTGACATGTTCTGACTCTACATGACCAACACCACATCCACAGACAATTTGTACTCTTGGACAAGATCTTTAACTGTGCTCAGCCTCTGTAGAACCAGTATCTTGTCTGCTTTTTTCTTTGTACCTGAGCTTTGTCAGCCAACATGTCAGAGCCAGTGGTACACATACAAGGTATCCGTTTTGACATGTAACACCTTGGCTTGCCATTAGAGTGCCAGATTGAGGCCTTTCGGTGCAATATCCATTCATTAATCAAAACCAACATGCGTCTTCGAAAATGTCTCTTACTTTCCAGTACCACTTCTATTGCCGGCAAGCTCACATCGGTCCATATGTTGATTTCTAGCCCATCTGCATGCCAACTGCCTTGAGCCGGATCACTTTGCTTTGTTCTGTTCACAGTCTCTCTTATGTGTCTAAGAGAGATGTCCTTGATTTTGTCATTCAAACCTTTCATGACTGGGCTTGCTCACTGCTTGATGATATTAGTTGTCACCTGAAGCCACCCACATACAAGACCGGTTTCCTGTACTGGGAAATACATTTTGCCATGTCATCATTTCAAGGGCATCTGGAATTCTACTCCTCTTTTTCCATCTCAGGTCACCTTGCCCCACCCAGACTTCTAGTGTGAGCATGCATGCACACTCCTTTAACTGTTTTGGGTCTTCGCTGAAGACTATTCAGTCTTCATAATTGGTCGAGCTTGGGCCAGCAGCTGGAAGAGCAGCCACTCTGAAGGATGTACACAGAAGCATGCTTTATTTATATAATATATAATGTGTGTGTGTGTGTATATATATGAGGGCTGTACTGTTAAGTTGAAGAGGGAAAACTTGTTTGATTTGCACAGCAGCTTTACTTTTTCTCCCCACTTGACAATGGAATTCAATCTGTTGAATACTGGGATTGATTTAATGTCAAGCTTCCCATTGGACATTTTGCTGAAATAGCTTGTTGGTATTCAACTTTTGTATTAACCAGTTCTTCTGTGCAAACCTGCACTCTTGCAGTGAATACTTGGCAATAAAAATGTAGGTGACACTTTCACCCAAGAAACAACTGAAACCTGGAACAAATGCTCATTGGGAACGTAGCTAACTCCAATGCTGATTCTCACTCCTCTTTCTGACTGACCATGTTTTTTTTTATTTATAAGTCCTGAAGGGCAAAAGCCCAGATCATCAAACTGCTGACAGATGACTGGATGAAAATATTTTTCAAAACTAGCATAACATTTTTAGCTTTTTTTCTCTTAATCCTTTCTTTTCCCTCAGCCAATAGACATTTTTTCTTTTGCAACTGAACATGTTAATCTTTGCCACAGTTGTTTGTTTATTTATTTAATTTTTTAATGCCATTTCTCTTCAGGGTGTAGGTATTCATAACTCAACACAGATTCTCTTTATTTGTAAATTGCCATGCATTATGGTGAAGTAGTTTCTCATTGCCTTTTCCAAAGTTTTAAATTAAAGAGTTTATCTTCTACACTGGTTAGGAATTCCAGTTTGTTCTGCTATTTAACCTATATCTGAGTGTGGGGAGAAAACATGGATTCATGCCTTTCCTAAGGGCATTAGTGTCAAGTAAATAGACTGAGGGGTAATTCCATATCAAATCCTCCAGAAAAATGGAATGTTGTCACCCTTACCTCAAGGATTTTTTAAAAATTTTAACCAGTGGTAGGTATCATTAGACAAGACTATCCTGAAAATTTGAGCCTCCAAGTCCAAGCAGTTCTGAAAATATGCCATTTTAAAGATTTTGCATGAAACCTGATTTGCAAGAAAAACACGGCATTACAAAATCCTTTTTTCTTCAATAAAATTCCATCCAGACATGCTAGAGCCATGAAAATTCATACAGAAAAGTTTTTGGGGGCAAGGAATCCAAAAATGACATCAAAACGCCTAGAAATCAACAATTATTGATCTATACAACAATTTGAGTAAATTTTGGCATGTGGGAAATATCTAAAAAAAAAATGATGTGGCACTATACATAAATGAAAATTTGTGTCTTTAAAGTGTTCCCCATACTACAATCATGAATAGAATCAAAAATGAAGTCTTGTTCTCTCATTGTTTGCCCCCAATTAAAAATGGGCATTTTTTTCTGGCTATTGGTATATAGACCATATACTTAATTTCCAGAATACACTCCAAGGAAATCCAATAACAATAGATTTTTCAGTAAGATGGGTGAGTTACTAAAATGATACTTTTTCATGCCTTAGTTTTTTTAAGACTTTTATTATGTCAGGTGGTATAAACAATACAAAGTAGAGAAACAAAAACAATCTCATGGGAAATAATATTCACATTTAGAAAAATAATCCACCAAACAAAACACTTGATCACATGATTTTTATCTGGAAATGAAGTTTAGCAAATACAGCTAAAGTTTTTTATTATAATCTGCATCACTTGTATGTTCTTCCAGTATTTGTTGTAGGTGGATTGATGGCACGAACAATGTTCTTCACTGGAATGTAACATGAATCACCACCCTCTGAAAAATTTGAAGATTTTTCACAGTCCATAGGGATGCATAAAGTCAACTTTTGCGTCACCCTCCTCCTTAGCAACATAAGTAACCATACCAAGCCACAAAAA